CAATTGATGACATGGATGTCCAGAAAGAGGTTGCTGATGACGTGGCACTAATTGAAGATGAAGACGATCAGCCTTACTCTGTGTCAAAGCTACAACAGCCTACACGCACAAAAAGATTTCCATGGACAGAAACAGCAGACAGGTTAAGGGACTGAAATTGCAAATTAACATTTAGTCCAGGGACTATTTTTGTAATTTGTTGATTTTTTTTTTCTCAGGTTGTTGGTGATTGAGTACGTGAGACATCGTGCTACAATTGGAGCAAAATTTCACCGAGCAGAATGGAGCTCACTTGAGAATCTACCAGCACCTCCTGAAACATGCAGAAGAAGAATGTCAACATTAAACAGAAACAATCAATTCAGAAAAGCTGTAATGAGACTCTGTAACATGCTTAGTGTCAGATACGCAAAACATCTAGAATATTCCAAGAACAAAACACTCATTGATAATCGAAAAGCTCCTGATGTTGCTGTTCATCCTTCAAATGAGTTGGATGTTGATGAACAATGGGATGATTTTGACAAGAACGATATAAAAATAGCCCTAGATGAGGTTCTTCAGTACAAACAGGTTTCCAAAATTGCAGCAACTAAAGGTTCTTCTCGATTCGTATCCAACAACTGTCCTCGACAACATGTAAGAATTTGATCAATCATTTAAATTTTGACAAATCAGTCGTTAAATTTTTTTTTTTTTTTTTTTTTTTTTTTTTTTTGGTTTGTAGGAATTTGATGAAACCAATGTAGGTGTAGGTTCATCAGGTAACCCTAGCGATGAGTTTTTGGATAGTGGAAGGAGGGAAGGTTCTGGAAGAAGATCAAGAAGACGTTGTCTGCCTAAAAGCTATGACAAGCTTTTGAATAGAGGAAAAAGTTTTGATACACAAACGTACAAATCATTAGCAGTTTCTAATGCAATCGAGCTTTTCAAGCTTATCTTCTTAAGCACTGCAAAAGCTCCAGTCGTCCCAAGCTTGTTAGCTGAAACATTGAGGAGATACTCAGAACACGATCTTTTTACAGCATTTAATTATCTAAGAGACAGAAAATTCATGGTGAGGGGTAACGATGCGAGTCATTTTGTACTCTCGCAGCAGTTTTTACACAGTATTTCATCTTCTCCGTTTCCTGTTAATACTGGAAAAAGAGCTGTGAAGATGTCGAGATGGATTCATGAGAGAGAGAATGATTTGTTGGAGTATGGAGTGAATCTCCCTGCTGATCTTCAGTGTGGCGATGTTCTTCATTTATGTTTGCTCATGTGTTCAGGGGAAGTGTCGATGTTCCCTTGTTTGCCTGATGAAGGTGTTGGAGAGATCGAGGAGTTGAAGAAAAGTAAACGTGATTCGGATGATAATAAACAAGAACAATTGCGTGTTGAAAAAGCTAAAAAGCCGAAAATATTAGATAGCGAGATTTTTTCTCGTAAAGAAAAAGGTTTTCCAGGTATTCAGTTATCTTTAACCCGTAGTTTGATTTCAAGAATCGATGCGATTACTTTTTCTAAAGATAGAGACACTTGTCCTTCTGTTTCCATTTCATCTGTACACGTGGCATCTTCTGAGTCAACATGGGAAGTTATGAGTAGGCATGCAAGACACGTGGCAACTTCTGGGACTTTTGATCCGGATATGTTTAAAAGTGTTTATTCAGCCATCCAAAAGGCTGGTGACCAAGGGTTAAGCATGGAAGGAATCTCCCAGATTATTACTGATGTACAAGAAGGGGAAAAGATAGAAGAAGTTATTGTTGAAGTGCTTGAGGCATTTGGGAAGGTTTTAAAGGTGAATGCATACGATTGTGTCCATGTTGTTGATTCTCTGTATCGATCAAAGTACCTTTTGGCTTCATCAATGGCATCACACCAACACCAACATCAACATGAACATGAACATGATCTTCTTCATCTCAAGGAGCCTCAAACCTCCTCCATTAATGATGAGTTACAACAAGAAAATCATACAAGTACTCCTCCTGATGAGGAAGTGCACAGAGTCACCATTTTAAACCACCCACAACCAGAAGAAATAGAAGAAGAAGTTGGTCAAGTTTTGACTGAAAATGAAAACGAAAGAAACAAAGAGATTGTGAAAGTAACGTCTCCAAGAACAACAGGGACAAAAGAGGGATTTTGTATTGGTGATTTTGATGTTGATTCGCCTTGTTATAAGCCAATTTTGCCTTGGGTAAATGGAGATGGGAGTATTAATGAGATTGTTTATAAGGGACTTGTACGCCGTGTTCTTGGTATTGTGATGCAAAATCCTGGGATTTTGGAGGACCATATTATAACCCAGATGAATGTTTTAAATCCTCAGGTATGTCAATTTCATCTGTTTGAAAAAAAAATTATTACATTATTTGTGAAGAAGAATTAATAATCCTTGCATTGATTGCATTTCAGAGCTGTAGAAAGTTATTGGAGGTGATGATTCTAGATAGTCATATCAGGGTGAGGAAGATGTATGCATCTGTATCAAATGAGCCACCAGCCATGTTACGAGGTCTTTTTGGTTGCAGCTTTAAGAAACCAAAGTTGGTTTTTAGACAACATTTATTTGCAAACCCTACGAGTATCAACTGTTTGTAGTCTGTAGAATATATGAATATGTATGTACATAAATTATAAATTATATATTTATATGATCGCAATCAGTTATTTATCAGATCAAGCTGAAACTAAATCTCAGCCTCAGCCGTAATAAGTCATTTGTCCCACTTTCCATCTATGTAAATCTAAGAGGTTTTGATCAAAAGAGGGTTATTGAGAAATTTTTTTACCAAATTAGTATTTTTTTAATTTTTAGATATCTTGCAGGTGAGGCTTAATCACCGGTAGCAAAGGCTTTTTTTTTTTTTAGTAGTAATGTCTTAGTTATGAAAATACTTTAAATACATACTAACATATTATGTCATATATATATATATATATATATATATATATATATATATATATATATATATATATATATATGGGAAAAGTCAATATACCCTACCCTTCAGGGTATATAGGTTTAGGTACCCAAACATTTAAAAACGACGTCGTTTGACAAGGGATATGATTTATCAGAATTTCGATTCTTTCTTTATTTTTCTAAGACTTCGTCCGCTAAGAATCTTTTTGATTCAACGTCATCATTCTCAGAACATCGGTTCTTGATTAATCCCAGGAACATTTTTTTTTTCGTTTTATTTCTCCGGTTCAAGGATTCAAGGAGTCACATTTTATCATCATCTCCCATCGATGACCATGGTTCCGTTGAATGGGTTCACCATCCATCTGATTTCATGCCTATGGCTTGTCCGTGAAGACGTGTACTCTGCAGTATTCATCAATTTCGTCGCTCTTGCAACTTGCTTGTTCAACCAGGATCGTTAATTCCATCTTCTTTAACAAATTCCCTCAAATTTTAAGTTTCTTAGATTTATTTTGGAAACCCCATTAATTTTCTTCAAAATCCAAGTAACAATCAAAGATCAAATTACCTTATTTTGAATCGATTTTCATGAATTCCTTGAACTAATGATGATCGATAACTCTACATTTTCTTATATAAGTCAATATCGATATCACTATGTTTAATTTGGATGAAATTGGTGTTTGGATACAGGACCTGTGAAAGTTTAACTTCACCCACCAGGTGTTTGACATAATGTCAACAGATATTATAACACTCAAAATCAATAATTCTAAACATTTTGATACCTTTTTGGTAAATATCTTGATGAGATTATTTTGTAGCCAACATGTTCTTTAAATTTTGTTTATTTGTTAACCAGGTAACAAGAAGAATGAGGGATTTCCGTTTTTGTTGATGTCCTGTTGGCTTCTGATTTAGTGCCTTTTTTAGTCTTTTAACCAAACCTTGTTTAAAAGATGATGTCATTTTCTAGCTTTATGTTTTGTAAGTGCATAATTTTGTTTCTCTTCCACTTAGTATTGAATACTAAACAAGTCCTAGATGATGATTATCTACATTCAAGCTTTTGAATCTTAATTATTAAATAGCAGAAAGGTGTCATCCATGCTTCATTGTGGTTGGTGTTCTTTCTTGGAATGTATGCCTAATAGATAGTGTCGAAGAAGAGACTACATTATGGAGGAGTTGATGGTTTGCGTTCCTCTGTGGTAGCTAAAGCTCCCAGGTCTATAAGGGTGAGTATATAGTGCAATGTATTTAATTACAATTTCCATCTGATTCCTGAAAGCTTCTATTGACATTAATTTTGTTTCTTTTAGAGGAATTTACATAAGAAACCATCAGGATGCAGTGAAATTTGCGCCTTTGAGTTATTAGCCGCTATAGTTGGCTAGTTATTGCAGGAGAGCGAAAATTCTGTTCTAGCACTAGTTCCAAATAAAAAGACAGATTAACATTCATAAATACAATGTCAAGCAGGAACCACTTGAAGTTAAACTCAAACTTGCAAGATTAGAGGATCTTGATCTCGGATGTTGTGCTAAAACTAGAACTCCGATTGAAGGATTCACTACACTCTGATAATGATTTTGGATTAGAACATGCTTCTATAGTTACCACTTCAGATTTATTTAAAGAAGTTGACTCTAATGTGAAGTTGGAAGTATCAGATAGCAAGAATATAGTTACTGATACTTCTAGAAAATATGAGCGATGGTCTTATAGTCATGGAGACTTATGTGATGTTAATATATGGTTTGTGTGATTAAATTATCAGGTCACCGGGATAGTCCAATTACCACTTCAGATTTCTTTAACATGTTGACTCTTCATTTGGTTCATATGATTCTTTTTGTACATTGTAATTTTATTTGTAATCTTCTTAATCAAAATTTTATTGTTTCGTTTCTATTACTTTACAAGTTTTTGCGAAAATGATGTCATACATGTCATTATTGGTTAAAACTGAGAGTTGGATGTTGTTACCGGTTGAAAATGACAAGTATGTTCCTACATCACTTAAAAGTGCTAATTTTAGTTAAAAATGATAAGTACAGTGTTATTCCGGATAAAAAATGAAAAGTGGGGTGCTATTTCTGCTCATAAATCTAAGTAAGTTATGTTGCAAATAACAAGTATGATCATACATCTATGAAAAGTATAAGTACATTACTTATTTTGTTAAAAAAATATAAGTACACTGCTATATAACAACCCAAACTTTTTCTAGAGTTTCTACAATTCTTTCAATTCTTCAAGTATTCCCACCAAATCCAACAAAGAAACTCTAAGCACTCTTCCTGCAACTTTTCAAACTTTCCCCTGACCATTACCATGAACTCCTGAACCAATGTCAATAGGATAAAAACTACAATGGCACACCCAAAAAGGTTACAATTTCACATGTAAATGTAATTAAACAAACTAATAAAAAAAATTTAAAATGAGTACCTTCCATTGATAAAGCAGCATGAACCATAAAATTATTCAATCTTTTAGCTTTCTTATGTTGTTCATCATTTTCTGGATCAAATAAAACAACTGTGTGAAAATAAAACAACTGGATCAAATATAAGTTCAAGAAAGTGAAGACATAAAAGATCAAAAAAAAATAAAAAAATAACAAGTCTTTATTGTTTTCAAGTTGGTGAGGTGAGACCTGTTCTGTCAAAGCAATAGCATCCGATGCATTGCCTTCTAATGTAGAGTGTAAAATTCCTGAAATTTTACATTAAGAGTATATAATAAGGGTATTCAATGTCCAAAAAGGGTATAAAATCAGTTTAAAAGAAATTATTTGTCTTGGTATTGTGATATAATGCCCAATGATAATTTAACACCTGGTGGAGATTAGGACACATCAATGATAATGCAAGTGCTTCCTATAGGCTTGGTCTTGTGATATGGTGCCCAATGGTAAGGGTATCTTGAAGAAAAAACTCTATTTTTTAACATATGCAAATTGTTCTCATAAAGAAAATAAAAAAATTGTGAACAAATGGGTAAAACAGTCATTTATACTCCTTCAAATAGTTCGTTAAGTAAAAAAGATGGTCTTTATTCGTACAATACTTCTACTTTCCCTAACAGGTTATGCTTGTAAAAGTCTATGCTTATAAATACCCATTCTCGATAACTGCTTATGCTTTTTAAGCCATATTGACACAAAAGTTCACTAAGGCATTTAATCAAACACATGGTGTACATTTCCAGAAACACTTCTCTTAAATAAGATGAACATATAGAAAACACCCATCAAATAAACCTACTATCGATCAAACATCTCAATCTAATGAAATTAGTAAAAAAGTTAGAATCAATCTAATTCAATTTCTACTGATGCGTAACTAGAACCAATTGAAAAAGATAAATTTGTGGCGTGATTAACCACAAAAAATTAAGAAAGAGAGGATGATAACAAAAAAACCTCTAATAGAAATAAGATGAATTTCTTCATGATTAAATATGTTGAGAAGAATCGAAGGACTCACACTCAGTTGATAAATGCGATATCATCGAATTCGTCTTCTGAGTTCTCGATGGATGCGATAAGGAACGAAGCATAAATAAGGCGACGTTAACTTAAAACGACGTAGGATTGCATTTTGGGTATATATATATATATATATATATATATATATATATATATAATATATATATATATATATATATATATATATATATATAGGGTTAAGTTTATATGAGACCACGTTATTTTGTGAGACATGGGGACCTATTTATGTCCCTTGATCAAAAATAATCTAAGGCTGAGATCAAAACATACAATCTGATAAGAGGCGGTGTCAATTTTAAAAATTTATCAAAGTTTAGGATTAATTCGATGACACGGAGGGGTAAAATAGGAATTGTGTACTCCAATGGATGATATCTGATCAATTCACGTTTAGAAGTTTTTTCATCGTTCTCGCCCAAATTTTCTCAATCCAAAATTTCTCTCAATCTTATTCCCAGCATCTTCCAGGAAAAAATTTCATTTATCTACTTATCAAAAGGTGTAATTAGATGGAATAATCTTGAAAAATCAGTCGATAAAACCCTAGCTTCTTGTTCGATTGGAAGGTATCAAAAAACCCTAGAAATTGCAATAATCAAAAAGATTTCAAGCTTCGGTACACCAATTTGAAGGTTTTTTTTCTAATCGATCATCAATCGTGGCTCGTTCTGCTAAAATTGATTCTAATTCTAGCTCCGGTTTGTGTGATGATTCGTCAGAAGTAGTTGATTCTCAATCAAAGGCTTCGGATATAAGTTTTCATAAAAAAAACTTCAACTGCTACTTCTTCTCATGATTCTTAGTTGAGGAAGGATTCTTCTCATCAGGTAATAAAAGATTCCATTGACTCATCTTTGGCTGTTAACAATTTCAATGTTAATAAATCTACAATCCAAGCTATGTTATTTATGCATAAATGAAGTTATTTACAAAGTCTGTAGAGATATTATTGGAATTTGAATTATAATTTGTTAGTTTGTTTGGTTTATCTTATTAGTTACATACTTCTAGTGTCAGTTAGGTGTTTGGTAAATTTAGTGATCGCCCGTTAGGTGTTCGACATAATGCATTCTGTAATGATTTCATATTTTCTGCAAGAAAATTGTGAATGAAAATGATAGAATGTTGTAGATGCAAACATAACTTGCTTCCTAAATTGATTTTAGATGTTATTTTGTTTGAGTAATTGGATTATCTAGTAAATATTTAGTGAAATATTTTTTGATGATTTGGTATTCTAAGTATTCTAGTTTGATAAGCAATATGGTACTTCTTAATTTGAATCGGATGTTACTTTGTTTGATACGTTAGATGATCCAGTAAAAATATTAGTAAAATAGTCTTTGGTAACTTAATATTCTAGGTATTCTGATTTGTAAAGTTAGGTGTTACTTCATAAATTTGATTTAAGATGTTATTTTATTGATTAACTAGATGTTACTCCTTACTTTGATAAGTCAAAACTAAAATACATTTTGAGAATTTGTTATTCTATCCTGACATAATTGAATTCATCTCTTTATGTTTTAGCTCGATAATATTTGATTCAGATTTAGATTCTACATAATGTAGATTCTAAATCATCTATTGTAATAGGCTTTAGGAAGTTGTTAAACAATTTATTCTAATTTAGGAATTATTTTTTTGAAATTTATATTGTAGCTATGGTTAGTGTTTAATCCAGATTCACTATAGCTTGGGCTAGAAATGAACTTCTTTATTGTAGTTTCGGTTAAACATTTTTGAATTTATTTACTGTAGCTAGGATTAGTGTTTGATACACATTGAAAGCTAATGAAATTTATTCTGATGTGTTCTTAATGCGACAGATGGAAAATTTATTCTGTAACAGTAAGTGGAAATGTGAAATATTGACTTGGGTAAAGAAGGTTTTCTGCAGAATAAGAAGCATACAAAATAGTTATGCTTTGACCAATCATATTCCAATTCCATAAGAAAGTAACCGACGAAGCAAAGGAATAGGGAAAGATTGATAAGATTGGTCATTAAAAATGATGAGAGAATGGATCGATGCAAGAAACATACTGGAAGGACGTGAATAATTTTTTTGGAATATTTGAAAGTCTTTGATTATGAATGACATGGTAGTGTTTTGTTCGTTTGAATATTGGTTATCTTTTTTTTAGTTTTGAACAATAGGTATGGTTGTTTCAATGGCTAGTGAATGTTTCACAGAACAATAGTCATGGTTAAAAAATAGTTATGCTTTGACCAATCTGAAATATCATGCTTTTATGATCAAATGTTCATTTTTTGTTATAGTTCATGTACAATATTTTAATAGAGTAATGTTATAGGTTTTCTGTACATTTATAATATTCTATTAGAATAATGTTAAATGTTGTTTTTTTTTTATAGATTTATATGTAATGACATTTTTACAATAATATTTTAGAATTTATAGATATATGTGATGTTAATAAAACTTACTTACTGTGTATATGAGAAATATTCTAATAGAATAATTTTATAGGTTGTATGTTCATGTATAATTCTATTTGAATAATGTTCTATGTTTTAGAATATTAGAATATTACATATATTATATTTGTATAAACACTGAAATATTAGAATATTTCACTAGAGAAAAGTGGTCTCATGGTCTTACGGTCTCAAAAAAATTGACATTTAGAACATTCTATTAGAATAATATTAAATTTTGTTGGTTTTTATAGATTTATATGTAATGACCTTTTTACAAAAAAAATGGAATTTATATATATATATATATATATATATATATATATATATATATATATATATATATATATATATATATATATATATATATATATATATATTGTTCAAAAGATTTATTTACTATGTATATGTGAATATTGTATGTCCATGTATAGTAATTCTTTTGGAATAATGTTATAGTTTTAAAATATTAGATATTACATATATATTTTTATGAACACTAAAATATTAGAATATTTCACAAGAGAAAAGTGGTCTCATGGTCTCGCGACCTCACAATATTAAGGTCATCTCATTTGAATCTAATGCATGATGTATGATGTTAATAATCTAATTGAAAATTTTTATGAGTTTCTTGTTAAATAATTCATTTTATTAAATAGTAATATGTATATGTAGAATATTCTAATAGAATTATGTATAGGTTTTTTAAATAAATAAGTTAATTTATTACATGAAAATATTTTGTAGTATGTGTAGAACATTCTATTAGAATAATGTTATATGTTGTTACTTTTCAGAAGTTTATACGTAATGAGCTTTTTAAAATATAACAATACTTGATTATATCAACAACAAATATCAATGTAGAATATAACACATAACAATAATCAGATCTAGAATATTAGTCATAGTAAGAAAACACATTCAATTACATCATCATTTATAAATGTGTATTAGAATATTACACTTATAAATTATTAAAAATAGAATTATACACTTCAATAAGATATTAGTATCATCAATATAGAACATATAATAATAGACTATATCATTAAATATGTGCACTATATCATGTATCATATTCTAAACGAAATATGGAACTAATTGAGTAGTTCAACAAAAAAAAATCAAAGTGGACTATAACATTATATATCTGTACATGTAGAATATCCAGAATCCAAACTAAATAATCATTAGTTGAAACGAGTTCATTGCTTGAGTGCGATTCTTCAGCACCATCATTAGTTTGACCTACAAAAAAATATTCCATTAATATTTATTATTGTATAAATATTTACAAAATTATATTCTAAACTTAATTTTCTGAATATGTAAGGACATATGAGTAATGTTTTTTAATTATTCTAATCAGAATAATATACCATGTATTATGTAATGTAATAAAAAATATGATGAAATGGGACCAAGTACCACTTCTGCTTCATGCTAAACTGGTCCAAATTCATCATTTACTTTACATGCTACTGACAAGGAGGATAGTAACTAATCTAAACCTTTCACTCAGATAATCAAAATAATAAAAACAATGAGGAAACATGTTTCAAGCTTCAAGCATCAACATGGTCTGAGATTTCCCTACAATGATTACACTAATATTTCATATATGCACCATTTTGTGTAATTGTCTAAATATGATGGAAAAAGAATAACATTTATATCAACAAGAATATGATTTAATCATTTAGAGGCAAACCAAAGGACAAAAAACTTTTGATAAGTATCCATTTCCATTTCAAAGTTAGTGAAGGTGCATGATCACTTGACTTGATGTAACGATTTTGTTCTATTGTGATTATCTTCAACCTATATATGTAAAGTTCACACTTTAGTGCCATAAATTGCTACTAGATAGCAATTAATTAGGAGCATGTCTAGAGTTTAAATGCATTAGAACTTAAGTTATGATTATTCTCTTAGGCATTTCATCAAACAGTTGGCGTATCAAATAATACTTCTCCAATTCTTCTGTCCTCAAATAGATGGTACATCAATTGCTACTAATGATGAGTTGTTGAATTTGTTCTATAATGGAGAAATTGTTCCTTCTTGATGATGAATTGAAGAAAATCAATCCTTACTTATCCTTCTGTGGTTTGCAATTTGCGATTGAACAAAACTGATTAAGAAAATCATGAAGATATTGACTCATATTTGCAATTACAATTGAACGAATCCAACTCAAACAATCATCAGATAAAGAATAAAGAAGATGAACTAGCAAATCACTAAAATTGTGAATTTAATAGTTGAGATTTTGATAGGAGAGGATAATTGATAAATCAATGAATGTCAATCTCAAAATCATGTTGATCGGGTATAAATACATACCTATTCAAGGCGATGAAGATCTTGATTTCCTGAATGTGATGATTTTGATATGAAGGATAATTGATCGATCAATGAATATCTATCCGACATAACGATGATCTGGTGTGAGATTTGAAGATCGAAGGAGATAAAGATCTTGATTACGTGAATATGAAGTTAATTTTTGTAACATGTATGTTGATGATCTGTTTAACCTAACAATGACTAATCTGCCCTTAATTAACAAATCAGGTACATTAATAAGTCTTAATCATGTTTTTTTATGAGCCATATGATCAATTTTGATCAAAGGCTAATATGTTGTCCCCATGTCTCACAAAAAACTCTTGGTCTCAAATGAACCTCTACCTATATATATATATATATATATATATATATATATATATATATATATATATATATATATATATATATATATATATATATAGAGAGAGAGAGAGATAGAGAGAGAGGTGGGTTCAATTGAGAAAATAAAAAGGTTGAGAATGGGGGAATCATTCTCAGCCACTCATTTAATCTAAGCATAAAAAGACACGGTGGCAAACTTGTAAATATGATAATAACCTTCAATCTCAAATACGTAACTGTATAGAAATAGATAAAAGTTCAAACCAATTTCTAATCGATCATTCATCATCCAAATTTCTCCTCCAACCTTCAACAATCATCCAGATTTCTTCAATTAAACCATCATCAACATCATACAGTGTTAATCAATCATCGATCTTCGTCAATAACATCTTTATCAACACGATTCAACAGTTAACAACAAAAATTCGTTTTTTGGTTCTTTTAATCCAACCTTCAATTCTGCTTGAATACGATCAGATCTTCAACATCTACGATTAATTATACTCCCAGTGTCATTAGATCAACATCATTGATAATCAACAAAAAATACACTTCATATCATTCATTCAACATCGATTATCAAATAAAACTTTAAATTGAGGTTAGAAAAAGATCAAATCGTTTTTTTTTGAAAAATTTCATATAATTCTTTATCAATCTACTATTTTGTAAGATTTAAATAGTCAAAGTATCATGTTTTTAACATTTTTAAAAAAGTTAAATTGTATGCACTCCAACTGTTTGATGAAATGCATAAACTAAATTACCATGTTATATTCATATATGAATATGTTTTCTCACCTGAATCAGTATATGATTATTAAAACAAATATGCAAGTCTGTATGTTATTCATATGTGAATAACATATAAAAATTATATATATTTGTGAAAATACCTTGTAATATTCATATGTGAATATACTGTGTAATATTCATAAGTGAATATATCATCTAATATTCACAAGTGAATATACTATGTAATATTCACATGTGATATACCATGTAATGCTATGTAATATTCAGATATGAAAATATTATCTAATATTCATAATTGAATATATCATCTAATAATCACAAGTGAATATACTATGTAATATTCACAAGTGAATGCATCGTCTAATATTTAAATATGAATATACTATGTTTATTATATGCTATATTCATATATGAATGATACTTAAATTGTAAAAAAAATTAATCATAGTTTTTATTCATAAGTGAATAACGAATGTACTGTAGTAAAAACATGATTCATTTTTATTCACTTATGAATAACGATAACTGAAAATATAAAAAAAATAAATTTTTTATTTTATCTTAAAACTATATCAATATGAATGTCTATTTGTAGAGAATAAAAAATCATGAATTTTGATATATTTAAAATCATTTTTCGATAAAAATAGCTTCTTAAAAATTAAAAAAAACGAAAAAACTATGTTTTTGTATATATTAAGGTAATGCTTAGCATAGTTTAAGGAAACATATTTTGCTGGAAAACACATGTCTATTTCTTTCCCATTTCCGCTGGTACGACGGAGGTTTTTGCGGCAAAAATAAATGAGTGGCTGAGAATGATTCCCCCATTCTCAACCTTTTTTTTCACAATTGAACCCTCCTCTCTCTCTCTCTCTCTATATATATATATATATATAATATATATATATATATATATATATATATATATATATATATATATTTTGGTGTAAGATATATAATATATTTAGTAGCACAAAACCTAAAGAATGTGCAGTTGACATGGTTAAGTCGTCCGGGAGTTTGAGGGCTATAAGTTAGTCCCGTGTTCGAACCGCGATTGTTACGTTTTTAGAGCTTTACATTTTCTTTTTGGAATTTTTACATTATTTTCCTGTGCATAATTCTTTTTTTCTTTTTATTCTTAAGCAGGAAAAGACTCTCGAAGAGTCGCCGTCTCTTAAATTTCCCAACTTCCTTTTCCTTCCTCTTAAATCTTTAAGTCCTAAAGCATTTCTTAACGGTTCAAGAAGCAATTTAATCACCTTCACAAGGAGAATGGATTATGGATATCAATCTAAAGGTAATGTATTGCTTTTCTTTTCTCATTTGCTTTGTTTATCGATTTCTATAGATTTAGGTTTTGATTTTTGATTTTTGGGTTTGAATGGGACTTGATTTTCTGATTTCTAAAGTGGTTTATGGATATCAACCTAAAGTTAATATATTACTTTTCTTTTTCATTTGTGTTGTTTATGTGGATTTATTCCTTTGCACAAGCTTCTTTACCTAGAGAAAATGTGTGGTTTTGTTTGTCTATTAAGTGTTTGATGAAATGCCATAATGAAATCTACTTTTTAAATAAAATACAGGTAACACAGATTTACAATTTCATTTTGTTCTGCATAGTATATTGATTCCAAGTTTCTAATCAATGATTAGTGGTGCTTTTCTTTAATATTTTACCAACTAGGTGTGAGACCCGTGCATTACACGGGTTTATAAAAAAGAAAAGTTTAATATAAAGTTATAAGCATTACATAATAGTTTTACATAAATACAAAAAATATAATAAATAAAGTAAGTAATTTAAAATATAATGCAGGAGATTTGAAAAGTTGTAAAACATTTATTATGAAATTTAATAGAATAATCTACCTTACATATATAAATCTCACTAAAATATGGATTTTAAATTTAAGAAAATGAAAAATACAAGAAAATGACAAGTGGAAAAAAATAATTCAAAAACTCTTAGAAATTGACATGTGTCAAATTCAATGAGATAATGACATTTGACAAAATTGATTTTCATTTATTAGGTTAGATTGTGAATGCAGAATGAATCGTGCTATCTATCAAACAAGGGATAAGAAAAAGAAATTTATATCCATGGACTTCAATGACATTTTTAACTTTCTCCAAGTACAAGCATCTATAGCAGAATTATAATAAAAAAAGGATGTTGGAATATGAGTACAGGTGTTGTGTGGAACAAAGGAAAAAATGTTTCTAAGGTTTGAATATATTGAAAGGTTAGCTTTAAATATTTGGTTTCTAGTTATGTTTGATTTCACATGGTGCTAATCAAGAATATCTTGTGTTATTCTATTAATTAGTAGTTTTTTTTTTGTCTATGTGAAGCAAACGGTATAAAACCTCAAGAAAGAAGTATGCAAAGAGACAAGTTTTAATCACATGTTGAGGAATGAAGACTTATACAAATAAACATATACTAATCTATATAGTAATCCATGTATGTTTATGTTCAGTTGTACCCTCTAATGTATTAATTATTTTTAATAATAATTTTTCCAAAGGTTCCGTCCTTTTTTACCAAAAACGTTCTAGTGAATTAGCACATGTTGCTGTTTCGTATATTAATCGAAACTGATTGATTATAATTCTTTTACTAAGAAGGGCCTCATTTTTTATTTGCCCCGGGCCTCAAATCGGCTAGGACCGGCCCTGGGCGAAGGCGTGACCGTACACATCCTGATTTTTATGTTGTTGATCTTGGGAGACTGTTTTTGAATAATGTTTTGAAAACAATGGTTATGTAAACACTTGTTTTAGTAAATGAGTTGTTTTGAAAAGTTTAAATTTATTGTGAGTTTTGAGACGTTACAACACATATCGCAACTGTAGCAACTTTTGTATCCACCTTACAAATTCGTATGATGTAGTGTGGTAGATGTGATATGACAACCACCAGTTTCGTAAAATAAAAGAAAAAATAAAATGACAATATAAAAGTATAATACGTGTGATATGCTCACATACTACGAAAACTTAAACCATCCTAACTAGGGATGAGCAAAAGGACCGAACCGGCCGGAACCGGACCCGACCCGGGAACCGGCTTCGGCCAAAATCAAGAACCGAACCGGCCCGGCGGTTCTACCGGTTCCCGGTTCCTACCGGTTCTTGTCGTGTCTTCAAATGTTGGAACCGGTCATCGAAAAATAGCATCATACGGTTCCGGTTTTTGCCGGTTCTATCGGTTCCGGTTATATTGGTCCGGTTCCTACCGGTTCCCGGTTCCAAAAATCCACAAAAATAACGTCCCGGTCCCGGCCCGACCGGTTCCATCGGGTTCCGGTTCCGATGCCGGTTCCGGCCGGTTCCCGGTCCATATGCTCGTCCCTAATCCTAACTATGTAGTATTTTTTTTTTCCTTCGAAAGAAATCTTAAAGAAAAAGGCGTAAAAGTTTCGTGTTGTACAAAAACTTGCCCTCTCAAATTCCCTCCATCCCCTTTATCAACCGGTCGGAGATCACAAATTCGCCGTCTCTCCGCAGATTTCCCAACACTCTTTTCAAATTCCTCGTTCATCCTCAACTCTCATCAGCTTAAAAAAGGGAAAACAACAGCGGGAAAGAGAAACCATCACCTCCCACATCGACGATATTGCCGGCATTATCTTCTCCGGCGACGATGGCTGTCGATACAGACTTTACTTCGCTTTTTAACAATTTGAAGGTCGAAGATCCATGGCTTCCACCTAGACCTTGGGAATCAATTCCTACAGAGAGTGGACGTTCTGTCACTTCAACATCTATTTCCTCTCCTTCAATTTCTAGACGCCTCTACGACACATCAACTGTTTCTGTAAGATCTCTTTCTGGTTATACCCCTCATCTCAACATCAGTTGTACTTTCTTTTCCAAAAGAAATGTCCAATTGCTTTTGATGATTCGAACTCGGTACTTCAAAATTTTGTAATTGACTCGGTTATTGTTACTTTTCACTTTTCAGACTCTAAGATGGTTTTGGTGGGATATTACTAAACCTATTTTTACGTATGCTTCAGGAGGCTAGTTTAGTAAGGTTGGCAATGAACGCTCTGCAAGGATTAGAGTCATCTCTTACAAGCATTGACAGACTATGCACAATATTCCGTTCTGATCCAACAGACAGAACATTTCACCGAATTCCTAGTCTATGGAACCAGTCTGTAAGTACACTTGCTCTTGAGAAGATACTTAGATCCTTAGGCTGCATGGGCTGTGAAGTTTTCTTTCTCTATAAATTTATTAGTCACTTCACAAACATAAATCCGGATGAGGCAAGTAGCAATTATCCTCCATACAGTCTGGTCAACCAGGCTTTTGCAGTCGCCATTGGAGATGTTTTGGAAGGTTACATTGCTGCATTGGATACTTTATCTTCTTCTGTTTGCCTGAGAAGATTATCATTTAATGATAGCATGATCGGGTGTCTTTCAAGTGTTGGGCATTCTGAGGTTACATTGTTGGAGGTTTTTCTTCATACGAAAGAATTAAGAAGTCAGATTGAGGTTATTGGAAGCATATGCAATGTGCATGATATAGCTCTTTGTTTCTCACTTTCACCCCTTGAGGATTTAGGTACTCAAACAAAATTTAGTGAGTTTCCAAGAGGTGGAAATCTTCTTACTTATTTGTACAACGAGCTCAAGGTTGCTGATCCAGTCCATTGTGCACTTCTCAAAACTCTCTTCATTCGTTCATGTGAACCATATTTTGACTTTATTAGATCCTGGATTTTCAAGGCCAAAATTGTTGATCCATTTAATGAGTTCATAGTGGCTGAGGCTGATAGTCATCAATCTTATTCACTTTCCAACACTGGAGTTCTTGTTGACTTCCCTTCAGCCACCATCAGGGTAAACTGAAATGTGTTATCTTTATTTTTCTATGGTTTTAGTACTCATTTAATACTTATTCTTGCAATGTGGATGTTTCATTCCAGGAGGAAGATGGAGTTTCTGTTCCATGTTTTCTGAGGGAATTCTTGATTCCACTGTTTAGGGCTGGTCAGCAGCTTCAAGTACTGATAAAATTGCTGGAATTTTCTGATGGTGTTGGGAATTGGAATCGTACTTATGAGGACTTTCTTCCATATTGGAGTAAAATATCAAGCTCCCATTTGTCACATGCATCTCATATGGCTTTCAGTAAAGAAGGAATTGAGAAAATGGTACTTGCAAGAAGAGACTACTATAAAATCATGATGGAGAAACTCAAACATCATTTGCCAAACCTAGAGTTCAGATATCATCAGGTGATTTCACAAAAGCCATACCTATTCTTGTTTACTATTGATTCTAGTATATCTTCCTTTTCCAGTATATTATTGGTATTTAATATTTATCTCCCACAATTCATGGCTTAACTTGTTATGGTTGACAGGTAATTCCACACTCTACAGCACCAATTTCTGTTTCTAATGGTAGAGGAAGTCTGGAATTACTATCTTCTTCAGCAAAGAATATGAATCAAAATCTGTAAGATATCTTTGGTCATTTATCTAAGCTAAATAAACACTTTGATAGTTTATTCTTTATGTTTTATTTAAGAAAGCAATGCATACCCTGAATCAGGTAACATTGTGCTGACTTAATCAAACTGATGTGCATATAAAGCTCTAATTCACATCTTTATTTGTTTACCTTTTCAAAGATTTTATAAATTCCCTAAACTTTGATATCTTTCTGTTCATCAGGCGTCTTGATACAGTAGATAGCGATCTATCTAGCATGACAGAAGAGTTCTCATATGAGAATGATCCATTAGATTCATCCGAATGTTCATCTGCTGAAGAAGACATAGAGAAATCTGAGAATATAATCGAATCTTTTCATGATGCAGAAGATCTGGAGAAAAAATACTTGTCTGCTTTAGAATTTAAATCAGATACCTCTTCCCATATTCTGTCTAAAATTTCCTCTCAAGTTAAGAGTCCATCCACCATAAGAAGTGGTTCACATGAGTCAGATAGGAATGATTTGTCATCAACACCAGAAAAAACTCAATATGAGAATAATCAACCACTTAATCCCATTTGTAATGCTATAGGGAACATAGAAGATGTTGCTTTGAGTTTAAAAAGCTTGAAATCATGGGAAGTTGAATCTGCTAATAACCTAATACAAGGAACAAGCAAACTTCGTGAAACATCTTCCAAAGTCAATTTACCTTCTTTTGACTTTAAGTCAATACGAGATCCTTTTACTGAATGTGTAGATAGATTAGGAATAGGAATTTCTAATAGAGCTGACCATTTCTCAGTTCCAGCTAATAATACTGCTCCCATGAAGAGAAATTACCATAAAGCCCCTGGTGATGATACACTCCCTGTCAACAAGACTTCATTCCATAAACTTGAAGATATTCGTTTCAAAACTGATCACCAAAAACACGAACTGTTACCAAATGTATCTGGTGGTGGTGGTGGTGGTGGTTGGCAGGTTATGCTTAGTGGCACTGGCAACAAAAATGTAATCCTCCGCCCTGGTGACCATAGTAAGACTGGTGTGGCTGCAGTTATTGAGATACCATTGGATTTTGTTCTTGAGAAATGCTTGTTGGAGGAGATTCAACTACAGTATCCTTAAAAGTTTAGATCATAGCCGTTTACAGTATGTGGGTCATTTTCTTTTGAGTAAATTACCGAAATCGTCCCTTTGATATTGTCCAAAGTTACAGATTGGGTCCCTTGCAAACTTTTTTTTAACCCTTTTCGTCCCTGTAGTATGTATTTGTAACATTTTTCATACTTGGGTTGGATACCACATAACAGTTACTGTTAACTTTTACAAAAAGACCATTATACCCTCGCTTTATATTTTTATTCATCTTAATTCATTACGGATTTTATCTGTGGGACCCGGAAATTAAAAGACTGAAAAAGGTTAAAAACGTTACAAATCCATACTACAGGGATGAAAAAGGTTAAAAAAGTTTGCAAGGGACCAAATCTGTAATTTTGGACATACCACAGGGACGATTTTTGTAAGTTACTCTTTTGTATTAGTTTATGTTCTCCTTAATGTTGGTAGATATATTTATGTGAGTAAATTGACAATTAAGCTACTTGAGGAAGGTTTTTCTTTACAAGAACATTTGTTGGCTTTGAGGAGATACCACATGATGGAATCAGCAGATTGGGCAGATTTATTTATCGTGTCCCTTTGGCAACATGTATAACTATTTTTTTTTCCTTGGTCTCTTCTAGAAAGTTTTATGCTCTGATAATCATATACTGAATTGTTTTTTATGTTTATTTTATAGAAATGGTATGCCACAGAGGCAGATAAAAGGATATCTGAAATACAGGGGCTTCTAGAACTTTCAGTTCAGAGGTCTTCATGTGAAAGAGACCATTATAAAGATAGACTCTTTGTTTACATGAAAGAACAAGGCTCCACATCTCTTCCTGGTTTTGCAACTGGTATGTTTGGTTTGTGGATTCTGATGGAATTGGAATCCATGATTCCATTTGTTGCGTGTTTGATTTGTTAAATGGATGGAATCCAATCCTTCAAATTCCATGGTTGATGGATTTAGTGTTGGAGGAATTTACTTCCATTCTTCATTTTTTTTTATTAATGACCAAAAATACACTCATTATATATATAATTTATATATGGTATATTTGCAGGTATACAGTCCTTCAATGTTTTAGGCCTGGGTTACAGAGTAGATTGGCCAGTGAGCATTGTTTTGACTCCTGCTGCATTAAAAATATATGCTCAAATCTTCAGTTTTTTGATACAAGTCAAACTTGCTTTATCTTCTTTGACTGAAATATGGTGTTCATTTAAGGTATTCTACTCCAGCAATTGATTTCCATAGTGCATGTAGACACCCTTAACCCTAAATCCTAAGGGTTTAGGGTTTTGGGCATCTCTAGGGTAGTGGTCAATTTAGTCTTTTCAGCAAAAAAAAATCCGTCCTAATATATTTTTTTTGATATACAGGAATTCATGCATTTCACCAACAAGAATCGTCATTCTGATGTACAGAAATCCCATTTCAATATCATGGTGAAATTGAGGTACTCTTGAATATCACAATAAACATTTTTATTTTAGCAAGAAACACATATAAAGCAAACTCTCATCTTTTATTGGATGAAGTATGTTTGGAAAGATGGAGCATAAAAGACTTTCTTGCCCTTGATATGTTGTATATTTCGATTATAGATTCCAATTTTTGTATGTTTCAGGCACCAGATTTTCCATTTTGTATCAACATTGCAGCAATATGTTCAGTCTCAGTTATCACATGTATCCTGGTGTAGATTTCTAGAGTCTCTCAAGCATAAGGTTCTGAATAATCATTATCAGGTTTCATATTTAGTTCATGTTAATTAACTTATGCAAATTTTCAGTAATAATTCTTTGTTTTCGATTAGGTTAAGGATTTGACAGATCTCGACATTGTGCATATGGATTATCTCAATGATTCACAATGCATGTAAGTTAATCTAAAACTATGTTACTGAAGTATATATACATACTCTGAAGCTATCAGTTTTAGATATTGGTTTTTATATTGTTTGCAGATGTTTTTTATCTGATGATATGAAACAAATAGCTGAGATTATTCAAAGCATTTTGCAATGTGCATTGGACTTCAGATCTTTTGTTGTGCCAAACAAATCAGCTGTCAACATTGCTCAGGTCATTTTTACTGTCTTCATTTATTAATTATTTTTTATTTTTATATTATTAGTGATTAAACAAAGCATAAAGCTATTTCCTTCAACAGGTTGTGAGCATTAAAGAAGCATTTGAGAAAAACATGAGACAATTGTATGCATGCTATATCAAGTCTCCTAAGAATGTGGAGTTCAGTCTTCCACGCTTCTGGGAGTACCTCAATTACAATCACCATTTTTCAGATGTTATTAATAAAGAAATGGGCCACCATATTCTTTTCTTCTAAAACTCTTATTATCAATGTATGTGGTTTTTGATTGATGCCATTTTTTTGTGTGTAATTATATCATGTCTTGTTTATTTTCCCACTTTGTGTAATTAAAACTGGTTACCATTAGATATGTGTTGACTCTTGCTGGTAAAACAGGCATGAGGTATATATATGGGTATCTTTACAAAACTAGCTTCCATTCTTTGGTTGTGTGTAATGTTTGACAAAAATAGCTGTAAACTTTTGAAAGGTTTTAAATTACATAAATTATAAAGGCTAAAAGCTTTCAAAAACTAATTGAAGTAAGTTTTTTGGATTATAAGTTTTTTTGTTTAAAATTAGGGTTTAGGGTTTTCTAATACGTACTTTTGTGATTACTTTTTGAGAACTACAAACTCTTAAAATTTGTCGCCAAATATATCATGTATTTCTCACGTCGACTGACCAAAATTTATGGAGTTATTTGTTAGTGGATTATATGGCAAATACTTGAAATAACGTTGATGAAATAAAAAAATTATAAAAGTTTTTAATTTCAAAATTATGTAAATAATTGGGGAAAACTAAAACAATTAAGGGAAATAAATGTGACTTGAATATGTGATAATTCTAATGATAAAAAAAACCTAAAAAAACTAGACAAGATGATGATATAATTTGGCAAAAAAATCAAGTATTTTTATTATAGATAAGAGTATCTTCAAAGTTGGATCTTTGTTAAGCTTATTAATTATTATCATTGAATGAAAGTTTTTTTTTTTTTTTTTTGGGTAATTTACTTCAGCCAACTTAATAAAGTAAAAAGTCGTTAAATGAGTTAATCATTGTGGCTGCTATATTGCTATTATCATTAATTTATTGCATTCAGTTAAAGATACTCAATTTTATATTAGTATCAATTTCTGTGACTTATAACTTTTTGTTTTAATTTCTTTTGTTATAAAAATATATAATTATTAAGTAGAAGTGTCTCTTTGCATTGGGGTTTTATTTGGGGGATGAGAGAGTAGTTTCTACTTTCTACTTGGAGTAAAGTACCGAGTAAAAGGGAATAATATTAATATGAATAACAATAAAAACAAAAAGAAAAAGAAAACAAGTACAGTAGCAGCAATAAAAGAGGGTTTACTCCACAAGTAACCTGGACTCCGATCATCTTCATCTCTCTCATATATATCTTCTTTGAAATTCAAGCAATCATCTAATCTGTATATATATTTATAATTTATCTGTAACTCTATATTTATCTTCTTCAAAAGATTCTATGATTGGATCCTGCGTTTTTTTCTTTGCTGATTACGGTTAGGCCTTTTCAATTTCAATCTCCTCATCACTTTCATTCTTTCTCTGTTTTGATTTTCGATTTTAGGTGTAGATCTGAACCTGTTTCCTCGAGATATATAGAAATTTCTTTACGATATGCCTTGCTTTTCCCTACTCATGACTCTCAGAGATCTAATTCACCGAATTTTCATTCAACTTCGTAATTTTCTCTTCTACTGATATCGACTTCTTTACATTGAATTCCTCTTTGATTTGCTTTTCGTTCTTGTTTCAATAAATTAATTATCCTTTTCTTATGGCCACTTGATGAGCGATTAAAAGTTTCTTCAAGGTAAATTCTCCCACTTAATTACTTATTCGTAGCATTAATACATGACTGTGCGTGTGTAAGTGAGTGAGTATGTGCACGCTTCTTCTGCTAAATTCTCAATAATCGAGCTTGAGGCCATATACAAGTTTTTCGTTGTTGTTGTTCTAAGTGGTTTTGATGATTGTAGTGTCATTTGTATTTGGTAACTATACACTATGAAATTCGGATATTAAAATATCATAATCATCATTATTATATGTTTTGTGGTGAGGTGTTATCGTGAGCAAGAGTTTACATGGTATGTTTCAGCTTATAGATTGTTTAATTTTACCCAATGTAGTTGTATTAATTAGCAAGTTTCCATCAAACTCTGCCATGCCATTTATGGGGTTAGTTTAACCTGTTTTTGACACACATTCTCTTAAATGGTTACAGAAAGTTTCAGAAATTGGTAATTTAGTATGGATTCAGATAATCAAATGTGACTACGCAATAATTCACTAAACTTCCAACTTTTTTTTTTTTATACTGGCTCCTTAGTTTCATTAATCTATTTTCTGGTTTTATATTTGTAATTGACATGGTTTTGTTGTGGTTCATGGAGATGAGCAACATGACAAGTGAAAGTGAAGAGAGAATATCCTGCAAAAATTCACCAAGTTTCGATGAAGGTAGCACTGAAAGTGAAAGAAACATGGTAGAAGGAACAGGATTTGGGTCACTAAAGAAAGGTCCCTGGACATCTGCTGAAGATGCAATATTGATGGAATACGTGAGCCAGAATGGAGAAGGGAATTGGAATGCTGTTCAGAAGCTCTCAGGGCTATCTCGTTGTGGTAAAAGCTGTCGCTTACGTTGGACAAATCATTTGAGACCTGACCTTAAAAAAGGCGCATTTTCCCCTGAGGAAGAACGCCTCATCATTGAACTTCATGCTAAAATGGGAAACAAATGGGCACGTATGGCTGTTGAGGTCTGTGCTCTTCTCATCTATACTTTTATGTTTCCTATGTTATATATGTGGTATGTAATGTATGCATTTGTAACTTATCAAGTTGCTTTAGGGTATGCCAAAAAAGATGAAACTAAAACAAGTCAAAATGAAACCAATAGATGTTGAAATGCTTTGTTTCTGTTTGACTATTAAGGCTTGGATACCATAGATGTTTATATTTTGGGGTTTAGGATTTAGTATGTTTCTTCCCAAACTGCTGCACTTCCACCATTCTTGCCTTTGGTAACATTTTGCATTTGTTGGTTTTTGACTATTAAGGCTCTGATACCACAGATGGTTTTTGCTCTATATTTACTCTTTGATACTGGATGACTCATTTTAGTTTTTTTAAAATTTATATTTCTTTTTTTGTTTGATTGTGTTTTGGTTTGTAAATTAGAGGCATATATTGACATATTATGTTTCAACTTGAAGGTGTAACAGTATACACTTACTAGAGCTAGGTTTAAACTTTTTCTTCAAGTCACACTTATATTCAAGAGGTTTAGCCTTTTTTCATTATTCTGAAATTTTGTATTTTTTTTTTGTTTAATTGCTATGAAATTTTGCGGATGGGACATAAATCGCAATTTTTTATTCATTGGCATCAGTCCCAGTCGCGTCCAATCAAACACAGTACAACCTGTTCTGTCTTGTCATGTCCTACACTGACATGACCCATGGGTTATTCATTACTTTTGGTTTCAGTTACCCGGACGCACAGATAATGAAATCAAGAACTTTTGGAACACTAGGACCAAAAGAAAGCAACGTGCCGGATTACCAATTTACCCTCACGACATCTCTTTCCAACAACTCAACGATAACTCCCAGAATCAAAACATGCTCATGTTCCCCAATGGCGATTCCGGAATTTTCCCACCAACCACTAACCTCCACATTCCATCCATCGATTACAAAGATTTCATACTAAATCATGAGTTTTATCAAAATCAAATTCCCACCGAAAGTAGCTTGCTTGATATTGCATTCCCTATGCCAACACCATATCCACCTAAGCGCATCAGGCCAGGTGGCAGTGGTGGTGGTGGTCTTGGTGATGTTTTTTCTGGTATGAATGGATATGAAGATGAGAAGATTGGTCAAACTTTGACCCCATCATCATCATCTTACTTATATAATACAGGCATAGGCAGCCATGCCTTTATAAATGGCAACAATTGTTCATCTTTTGAGCCCAATTTATGGGCAATGAAGAATGAGCTCCCTTCACTCCAATATTTTCATGGTGCACCACCTTCTTCTTCTTCTTGTTCTTCCTTTGAAATTGAGTGGTCGGAATCTGATTCCCACTCACGTAGGAACAGTGGCCTGTTAGAAGCTGTGCTCCATGAATCAGAAACCTTAAAAATCTCAAAAACCAAGAATGATCTCAACAATGTTGATGATCAGAATTTGGTTTCGGATTGTTATGGTTCCCCATTGACTTATTCAGCTGCATCCGTGTTTAGTGAATATACTCCAATCAGTGGAACCTCAATGGATGAACATCTTTCAGTTGAAGCTACTTCAGGTGACATCTACTTTTCTTTTTCTTTCTCTGTTTCCTTTTTTTATTTAATAATTAATAATTTGATTATTACTACTAATGATAAAAAAGAAAGAAAGAAAGAATAATTGTGTGTTTTTGGTGGTGTAAAGTTAAGCAGGAAGCAGGTGAATCCGATGACATCTGGAATGACGTCAGCTGTTTGAGGCCAGATTCTCTTCTTGGCTTAAACTGGTTTTCTAGTGATCCCATAACTTCACTTGTTTCCCATCACGATGACAACTCTACAACAATCCACACAGGGTCTCAATATCTTTAAACTATTATTATTATTATTATTATTATCCTTGTTTATTAAATTCATAAAATAACACTTGTTTGTAATTCCTTTAAACCCGGATCTTGTTTTACTATTTGGTTGGGATATTGTGATATGCTGAAAACCTCTTGGAATATGTTTCGCTTATTATCGATACTACATTTTAGGATAATTTCTAGTACTTCATTTGAATTGATCTTCCAGTTTGTTAATCAACCTCAATAACATGAGAGGGTCAACTCATCCAACAAATCAGCATTTAAATCTTGGTCAAAATTAAAGGATAGTCATTACATTTGGGAGGAATTAAATCAAGGGCGATACCTTGGCTAAATAGGACATGACGAGTAAAAGAGACGTGAAGTCCATCAAGTTTTAACTACGAATACTCTACCACAGCAAAAAAATGCCTTGCCGTTTTTTTTTTTTTTTTTTTTTCTCTATAAAATGTTAGTGGAGGATGAGGCTAAGTAGTTACGAAAAAGGAACAAATTGTCAACATACATCAGTTCAACTTTATTGAACGGGAGAGAAATAGGGAAAAAAAACTAGTAAAGATATGTACATGACTATCTTCGACCTTATAGTTGACTGTTCTGGACCCGGCCCAAACACAATCCTATTAGGTCTACTTGAGCCCGTTAACCACAACCCTATTACGCCTACTTGAGCCCGCTAATTGTACTTCAGTCTAAAATATAGATCAAACAATCCAATTAGGCTCCCTCCAAGGAAAAGCCTATTTATAGGTCAATTTAGGTTCTGAAAATTACCCAGATCAATCTCCACAAATCTAATATTTTTGGGATTAGTGTATCTCATGAAGGGGTGGATCAATTAGCTTTAATTACAGGTTATAAAAGTGCATAATTATCTTTTACTTACTTGGGTCCATGGTTGGTGCTTCTTTCGTGGTTTAACGCTTGGAATGTCACTATAGATAAGTTTCAAAAGAAACTTGCTTTCTTAACATATTTGGTTACTTTCCATAAGGAGTCGTGCTATGTTATTGAAGTCGGTTTTTTAGGAATCTTTTCAATGTCTCTTTTCCACATGCCAGGTGTGGTAAACAAACATCTTGAAAATGTTAGAGCAGGTTATTTTTGGGGAGATGACGAAGGGGACTGTAAATTGCATTGGGTTAAATGAGATATTATTTTACTCAATAAACAAAAAGGTGGTTTTGATATTGGTTCGTTGGAAGCTTTTAACAAAGCTTTGTTACTTAAATTGAAATGGTGTTTTTTGGTTGACTGTGATTCGATATGGGTCAAAGTCTTAAAGTCTTTGCATGGGAGATAGGGTGGTTTTGGTTGGAATGTTTGGTCCGGTTCTTAAAAAAGGTGTTTGACATTCGATAACTGGTACTATCAATCAACTTCATGATACTGGATTAACCTCAAGGGATGCAATTATTCGAAAAGTTGGTAATGGAATGAGATTTTTTTGGAAATACCAATGGATTGGTGATATTCCTTTGATAGTGCGGTTTCCTAGACTTTTTAGATTGGAGACTGATAAAGATTGTTGTATTAATCAAATATGGAATGTGGTTGATTGGAATTGGAATTGGTCTCGCCTAATGGAGTGGAGGATACTGTTTTTGCAATTATGTAAGAATTGAAGACCCTTATTTTTTCAGTTTGTGTTTTTGGATTGAAGAGATAAGTGGGTGTGGGATGTTGGCGGTTCTATTGAGTTTGTCGTGTCGGAGGCGCATAGATCCATTGATGATATCTCTCTTCCGGATGGTTCTCGCTCTACCAGATGGAATAAATGTCCCTTGTAAAGTAATTTTTTTTGGAGATATCGTTTAAGCAGGTTGCCAGCTCGTATGAAATTGGTTGACAAAGGTGTAGACGTCCCTTCCACGATTTGTTCTATTTGCAATGCTGATATGGAAAATATCTTTCATCTTTTCATTCAGTGCGAAGTGGATGGTAACCTTTGGAAGTTTGTTGGAAGATTGTGCGATGTTTCTGTCACACCCCCAAACCGGAACGGCGAAAACGTTCGGGGGCGGATGACGTCATGTACAGTATCACAACAATTGTATAATAGTAATCAAAGCACAACAACCATGATATTAATAATGTATAGTTTTACATCTGTGTTCAAATCAATGTACACTTGACACCAAAATGTATAGCAAAAATTAAAAGACGTGACACTACGAGGCTCCGTCTTCCCAAAACCTGTGTGGATACCTGTCTACTGATTCACTGAGATTACAAGTAGTTTTGAAAAGAGTGTCAACAATTAAGTTGGTGAGTTCATAAGCATGTTTGTATTTGAAATCTGTCATTTGTTCCTTGAAAATGTATGTGTTTTCTTCCTAGAAAATCCAAAATTTTCTGTTGTAAATGAATTGTAGTCTTAGTACCTTAAGGTTAAAATGTATAAGTGTTGTTGTACTCTGAAATAGTATAATGTAGTTTTATATCACATAAAACCATAAAATGTATGTTTCTAGAAATGTAAGTTTTCTCTTTACTGGAAATAGTATTCTGTATTTGTACTTGTATGAAAACTCTGTAAACGTAAGTGTCTGGATTCACCAGCTGTACTGTAAGATATTGTATTGTAGTTTTATTACTAAATAAAACCATATGAAGCTGTTTATGTATTCATACACTAATCGTATTGTTCAATACCAAATTGTGAGTTATTATAACCATGCTTGATGACCTAAGATGACCTGAATACGACATTCTTCAGGCGTCGAAAATGGTACTACATTTGTCACCCCAGGCCTGCCGGCCTAACTGTAGCTAACAGTTTAGGTGCGGGATTGTCAGTCCTGTATAGATCTATACACAAGTGTCACGCTCTCTCTCCAGGAGACTTTGGTTATAATTTCAAGGCTTGGTTGGTACTTAGATAAGTACTTGAAGTATGTCTCAAAAAGCTATATTAACGGTTACGTGTAGAATAATGAAAATCACTTTGTAATGGATAAAATGTATTTATGTTTCATAAACTATACCTATTATAGTTTATATGTTTGTTTCTATTGAATTGTAACCTGTACTTGATAAAATAGTACGTATGTTCCGTAAAGTATACCTATTATAGTTTATATGTTTGTTTCTGTATTGTATCCTGAACTTGGTAAATTAGTACATAAGTTCCGCAAACTATACCTATTATAGTTTAAAGTGTATGTTTGAAATCATAAATCTGTGATAAAGATATTTCATGAAAATTTAACATTTATGTTCAAACGGTAATAATATAACTTGCAAAAATATTCTTTTTGTTTAATAAAGAAACTTGCTTCTTAGCATATTTGGTTACTTTCCATAAGGAGTCGTGCTATGTTATTGAAGTCGGTATTGGGTTTTTTAGGAATCTTTTAAATGTCTCTTTTCCGCATGCCAGGTGTGGTAAACAAACATCTTGAAAATGTTTAGAGCAGTTATTTTGGGGAGATGACGAAGGGACTGTAAATTGCATTGGGTTAAATGAGATATTATTTTACTCAATAAACAAAAAGGTGGTTTTGATATTGGTTCGTTGGAAGCTTTTAACAAAGCTTTGTTACTTAAATTGAAATGGTGTTTTTTGGTTGACTGTGATTCGATATGGGTCAAAGTCTTAAAGTCTTTGCATGGGAGATAGGGTGGTTTTGGTTGGAATGTTTGGTCCGGTTCTTAAAAAAGGTGTTTGACATTCGATAACTGGTACTATCAATCAACTTCATGACACTGGATTAACCTCAAGGGATGCAATTATTCGAAAAGTTGGTAATGGAATGCGATTTTTTTGGAAAGACCAATGGATTGGTGATATTCCTTTGATGGTACGGTTTCCTAGACTTTTTAGATTAGAGACTGATAAAGATTGTTGTATTAATCAATGATGGAATGTGGTTGATTGGAATTGGAATTGGTCTCGCCTAATGGAGTGGAGGATACTGTTTTTGCAATTATGTAAGAATTGAAGACCCTTATTTTTCAGTTTGTGTTTTTGGATTGAAGAGATAAGTGGGTGTGGGATGTTGGCGGTTCTATTGAGTTTGTCGTGTCGGAGGCGCATAGATTCATTGATGATATCTCTCTTCCGGATGGTTCTCGCTCTACCAGATGGAATAAATGTCCCTCGTAAAGTAATTTTTTTTGGAGATATCGTTTAAGCAGGTTGCCAGCTCGTATGAAATTGGTTGACAAAGGTGTAGATGTCCCTTCCACGATTTGTTCTATTTGCAATGCTGATATGGAAAATATCTTTCATCTTTTCATTCAATGCGAAGTGGATGGTAACCTTTGGAAGTTTGTTGGAAGATTGTGCGATGTTTCTGTCACACCCCCAAACCGGAACGGCGAAAACATTCGGGGGCGGATGACGTCATGTACAGTATCACAACAATTGTATAATAGTAATCAAAGCACAACAACCATGATATTAATAATGTATAGTTTTACATCTGTGTTCAAATCAATGTACACTTGACACCAAAATGTATAGCAAAAATTAAAAGACGTGACACTACGAGGCTCCGTCTTCCCAAAACCTGTGTGGATACCTGTCTACTGATTCCCTGAGATTACAAGTAGTTTTGAAAAGAGTGTCAACAATTAAGTTGGTGAGTTCATAAGCATGTTTGTATTTGAAATCTGTCATTTGTTCCTTGAAAATGTATGTGTTTTCTTCCTAGAAAATCCAAAATTTTCTGTTGTAAATGAATTGTAGTCTTAGTACCTTAAGGTTAAAATGTATAAGTGTTGTTGTACTCTGAAATAGTATAATGTAGTTTTATATCACATAAAACCATAAAATGTATGATTCTAGAAATGTAAGTTTTCTCTTTACTGGAAATAGTATTCTGTATTTGTACTTGTATGAAAACTCTGTCAACGTAAGTGTCTGGATTCACCAGCTGTACTGTAAGATATTGTTTTGTAGTTTTATTACTAAATAAAACCATATGAAGCTGTTTATGTATTCATACACTAATCGTATTGTTCAATACCAAATTGTGAGTTATTATAACCATGCTTGATGACCTAAGATGACCTGAATACGACATTCTTCAGGCGTCGGAAATGGTACTACATTTGTCACCCCAGGCCTGCCGTCCTAACTGTAGCTAACAGTTTAGGTGCG